CTGATCCTTCAAAGTTCTCCCAAGCAACATTTTCCCACAATCCACCCAAAAAGACTCTCTAGCAAAATTCTTTCATTTTCCCTTTTTAAAACTCTATCAAAATCTTAAAGTTTTCAAGCTCACAAAGGGTACCCCTCACACACACACACACTTCGCCTTTGTGTTTACTTGTCTATGTGACCATCCTGGAGTTGATAGGATCTGAACAAGTCCAAATGCATGATCAGCTTTCCATTGGCTTGAGGTTTTCCAATATTCTATCTACGTATGCTCCATTCTGCAACCACCCACCCTGGTCGTCAACCGGCGATCGCAACATCTCCCCTCCCCTGATGTCCGCCGGTGCGGAATCCGAGTGAGCGAACGAAGGCCAGACACGACTGTTTTTGATATGTTTTGTCAGTGTTTGTTTCCTTTTTGGTTTTAGTTTTGAGGGGACTATTTGTGGTTATGGTGGGTTTATCTCTTTTCTCTACTCCCTTCACTTCATCACACCTCACAATTCAGGATGAAGCAGACGGTAGAGTTCACATCACAAATCTGGTCCTTTCAAAAGGAGTGGGATTAGGAAGAACGGTGCTCCGACCCCAGGGCTGTTCCATCTCCAGGTCACCCTCACACACCTCGATTGTGCACAGCATCGCAGGTCTCACGGTCTCGTCTTTGGGAATATTCTAACTGTTCATGCCCCCAACTGTCTACACACGTGTTCACTCGAGCTAGGGCAACCCCCTTTGGATGTGTGGGCAAAAACACTGTCCACGGAGAATTCCTCAGCCTGCCTTCAACCCAACAAGTAGGCAGTCAGTGTTCATCTCACCATTCCCTTCCCCCTTCACTCGATCCTCCCTTTTTAAATGAATCGCACCAAATACAACCAACAACCCAACCCAACCCGCGAAACCCACTCTTGACCACAGAAGCATGCCCACTTGTGACAGCCTAGAGGCAATGCATACTCGTCGCCTTCCTTGGCAGCTAGTAGCACACGCTCCAGAATTGCAGCATCCCCCATGATGCCACCGGAAGAAGCGCAGACACGGTGATGTGTGGGTGTGTGTGAGGTCAGAGAACCCAGAAACCAATGAAGCAGACTGCAAACACAAACCAACATCATATTCTATCTAGCGTCGCCTGCAAACCACCAATGTCGATACTTCAGACTGAACCCAGTGCATGGTGTGTACTTTAGAATGCCGCATTAAGCTGTAGAGTCTCACTAGCTCGGCTCACACAAGCTGCGCGCAGGGTGGAGCAGTGGCTGCTCAAAAAAACACGCGCAACTGTTCTCCAAAGGGCCTGAGAAAGCATGTAAAGAAGTCAAACCTAAGTCAGAATAGTGAAGGCCTCCAACCTACTAGTGATGGCCTCGAACCTAATAGCAATGGCCGCCAACCTAATAACAAATAACAAGGGCCTCCATTTATTAGCGATGGCCTCCAACCCAATAGCGATGGCTTCCAACCTACTTGCGATGGCTTCCAACCTTCTAGGGATGGCTTCCAACCTAATAGCGATGGCCTCCAACCTATTTGGATGATTTTCAAGATTGAGCAATGAGGCACATCATCATTGTGCCGGCGACCAACTTTTCTTGCCACGAACAAACACATACATAGAATATTTAATAACACCGGAAAACAATTGAATAAAGCAAGAAAGGGGAACAAACATACAATAGAGATGCAGCTAGCGCCATGCAAAAGCAGGAAACTGACGCCACCAAAAACAATTGACCTGATAACTCTCAGAGAGAGAGAGAGAAGCAAAAAACATGAAAACAAAGAAGGATAAGGAAGAGAAAGACCAGAAGACGAGTAGGAAAAGGGTAAGGATGGAAAGAGGAAAAGGAACAGGAAGAGGAAGAAAAGGAATTGGAGATGGAAAAGGGATAAGAAACAGGAAAAGGTAGATGGAAAAGAACATGGAAGAAGGGAAAAGAGGACACCAATTATAGATATATATATGATTATATATTGACAAGATCCTGGAGTAGATGTATGTGGGCCCAATATTCTATCTATGGGTCGGTCTTTCATTTTTAGTCTTCGTGTCCAAAACCACCAGTTTTTTCAAAATAATTAACCCCTTTCAATTCCGGATTCTATCTACTCCAGGATGATTATATATATATATATTTATTTTTTATATATATAGATATATGTATGTATTAATTCACGTGTGTGTGTGGGGGAAAGTGTAGCACATTTTTTGAAACAAAAATGTGAATTTAGTGACAAATCAACTTCGATCGACCCCACTCAATTCGTCGCCAGAAGGATGTGGAAACATGCGTGCTCCAAACGTGCAAGCCCGGCCACGTATCTATAGTGCTAGGGTGGGTGGGCGGTCCAAGAGAGGAAGCCCAAAACGTTTGCAATCCGCTAGCTTTGTGGCTTGGGCGGGTGGGTGCGCAAACGCGCGCTGTGGTATTTCTTGTTAAGTGGGTGGGGAGGGCGGGCGCTGGTCACCTCTGGCAACACGTGTCCACAGGTTTGGCCAATATGACACGCTTCTATCTTTGAGGATGCTGCGTGGGCAGAAAAAAGTGCACGATGTGCATAATTTTTTGGCTGGCCGGCCCTACTAGAATGACATCTGTGAAATACTTCCTGGGGAGATGATGTCTTTGGAACAGCCTGAGATCTACTTTCTCGGGAGCTTGGCTGCCTGTCGCCATCTCCGGACTCACCAGGAAACTGTCCCACTTTCCTGTCGCAGGGTGTCGGTTGTCTTGAGCTTTTGTCCGCGGGAGATGAAACGTATTCGTGGGCAGCCAGAGGTGGGCTGGAAAGCGTGGTTTGAAGATCTCAAGATTCGGTGGTTTACGTTCGACGTGGACGATCCCAGAACATACTTGGATGACACCAATACTTTTTGTGAAGAAGTGGGAAGTGCCTGGTTGTCATCGTGGATGGACATGTGCTGCGCTCTTCTGAAGCACGTGAAGGCAACGACTCAGCGAGAAGAACGAGGCATACTCTTTCAATCTCTTTCATTGCTTCGGCGGGGTCAACCGCAGCTCAGCAGCATTGTGCGCGTGGTTGATCTATCGTCGTCAGCTCTCCGCGGAAGCGGCTGTACAGAGCTTGTTGACGGCCCGTCCCACGCTTCACCCCTGGAAGCATCGGCCGCATGTCTTCTGGGCATTGCGTACTTGGGAGAAGAATAACCTAAATTCGTTTGTAAGACCTCGCATTTTTGCTGCAGTTCAAGAACTGTGAGCTAGCATGCCGGCGAGTCGACGTGACGAGCTGGACAGACTGTGGCGATACGCTGCTGCGAAAAGAGTCGAAAACAACGCTGCTTTGCGTTGCATAACAACTGACGGAGTTCGTTTCTCAAAAGAATTGGCACTGACCAAGTTCGTTTCTGACATCGACACTTCTGATGTTTTGTGACATGTGACTTGCAGTATAGCCTGACTGGGAAGGCCTTTCTTTTGGTTACTTTTGCTGACTGCAGTGCTCTCCGCAGCCTTTTCTAGCGATGTGATGACCGTGCTCAAGCGAGAATCAGTGGCCATGCTCGTTGAGCACGCCGCCGCGTTCAAGTCACGAGATTCGTTGTCGGACGGCTTGGAGATCATCAAAG